AATGGTGGAGACAGAATGTGTTTCTGCAATAGGCATAGACATTTATTGGGATAAATTTCCATTATGTTTTAACTTGAAGTACATGGGAGGTTGATTTTTGTTAACTGCTTTATTTATTTATTAGTATTCATTTAAAAGGGCTTCATTGTATATGTGTGTTGTGGGGGGGTGGAGGGGGGAGAGGAGCCCTTTGATATGTGGGACCACATAGTCATTTCAAGTTAAGGCTCCAGGCTGCTCTCTCATGGTTGTTACAGACACAACATGCTGCCTCAGGCCTTGGACGCTTTGCTTGCTGGTTCCTTGTAGTGATTATCCTACATTCTTTTTCGTTGCAGAACATGTCATTATTTTTGCTTTGTGCTGACCCTGTCTTCCCATCCCTTTTATGGGCCAATCTGGCCTATTTGTTTTTGCTTCTAAAACAGAAGCATATTAGCACTGCAAAAGCTGCATTATTCTATTTGTGTTATGTTCTGTCATGGGACCACATGCAATCCCTGCACTGCTTCTGATTCAAGATATTTGGGCCAGTAGACTGAGTAGGCAAAGATGTGTGGGGGTCCTGACCCCTCCACAGCTTGCGTCTCCAAAGGGGAATTAATTTAACTGGTTTTGAGGAAGCCAGAATGGGGGAGCAGGGGCTGTACCCTGCAGTTCCTCTCCCAGCTCTGGCATTTTTAGTTCATGTATAGCCTGAAAACAGGATCTGACACTTTTACTATAAAAAGTTTGATTGCAACTCAAACATGACAGCTGTCAAGGAAATTTGCTGCTCAAAATTGATTTCAAACACATTACCCTTGAGTCAATATGTTAGCATCTGTGCATGTTCAGTTTGACAGGACATTTGTAAAATTCAGAAAGAATCTTTCATATTACTTTAACAGAACAATGTGCGTTAGTGAACCCACACCAACTCTTTTGGTACCTCACACAACCAGGAAGCCTACTAAATCCATGTGTCACAAACACCAAAAACAGAGAAAATGCTACACTGGACAATTATACATGGTTGCAGCAAAAATGTGGCATCATTAGTCTGGATGTTTTGTAATTTCTAAGTAGAAGTACACATTAAAAAAATTACTTAATGGTATGCTGTAAATACATAGCACATAGCTGTAAAGGCCGTGGTACAGCACATGTCCATATATAGTATACATGTGTAAATGATAAGACTTGAGATAAACCCCTTGTAATATATAATGGCATCAGCACTAATTAGCTCTAGATCCAGTCTGTCCTTTCCTGCCAAAATAAACCTGGGTTATCTCAGGCTCATATTTCATATTTCCTCCTTTCTCTTTCAGGGGAGGAATGACTCTGTCACAAAATATTATCCTAAATTTAATACCTCTTTCAGGACTTACAGACCATTTCAAATTAATGTTTTTAAGTCATTTTGCCATTAGCTTGTTATCTTTTTATCATGCAAGAGATTTACCATGAGTTACAAAATCATATGGGCAAAATACTTTAAATATAAGTCGGAAACAAAACAATTGATGTGTAAATACTGGGGAAGTCTGGGGCTATAAAATGTAATTAAAATAGGAAATACAGTTATTTCAACTGTAAGGCAGGCTTCAGGAATAGTACATGAAGGGAAGCTATCCAAACTAAATATACATGATCATATTTCTTTACAGCTGATCAGCAGCCTCATGGTTGAACATTATTTTTTACAATGACTTTCACTTCCATATAGAAGTAAAAGGCAAAGGGAAAAGGAAGTTAATCACAGATATATTTGCATTATTGCTGTGATTTCAGTGGGAAAAGTCATGGGCCACTGGTTGGTTCTGCTTTCTCTGAAACCACAGAAACCCAGCAACAGTCTTGCTGTATCCATCTAGTGATCCAGTCCAGTCTAATATTCTGACTGGAAGTGGCCAATACTAGCTGCTTCACTATGAGGTTATGTGTACCTTTTTCTGGACTCCACAGGGAAAGTTTCCTCCTAATGCTTGCCACTGACAAAACTCTGATTTCAGTGGAAATAAGATTAGGTTCTGAGCTCTGAAGAGTGTTAAGTACAAACATAGCTTTCTTACTTGCCTTTTTAAAAGCTGATGTAATGAAAAATCTGGTATCTATGATCTCACAAAATGTATGCATTCTGATAGGCTTTGAACCAGCAAGTGGGGGTGCGGGAAGGAATTTGTTTCAGTGCTGAATGCTCTTCTACAGCCTGGTTAGCATAGGGATTTAAATCATCTTTTAAAATTTCAATTTAGCATCTTGCCATTACAAGAAAATTTTGTTATATTTATTCATTGAATCAGTCTCCACCAAAATCTCAGTCAGGGCCATTGTATTTGCTTATTAAATTAAGGGAGTAGCTTGTGTTAGTGCCTGAATAATGGGATTATTTTCAGTAATCTCCAAGGAATTTACTCTTGGGTCTTTAGGAAGCACTGAAATTAAATCAGTAAACTACAGGAATGCTGTAGTAATCCATATATCTCAAGATCATGTTAGAGGTCTGAGCAGATCCACTTAAAACTTTTGTCAAAAGACATATGCTTCTTGTTCATCATCAGTGTAACCAAGATATGTTCTTATTTTAACAAACTGGTAATGCTAGAAACAAGTGAAGCCTTGAGTTTTAATGCAGGGCTGTCCCGTTAGTACGCTGATGGGAGTTGCTTGTGATGCAGCAGTGGAGTTGCACGGCTGCTTTTCTACCCCACACTCAGTAACTTGAGCATCTCCAGATACTAACTGCTCTCTTAGTTTTTGGAAAAAAAAGTGTGTGGGGGGGAATGAAACTTCAAGAGTTCATACAGAAATCAAGGGGCACAACAATGTGAGTCTGAATTAGATGGAACTACAAGCTTTTATTTCATCTAGCCTTGTTCAAGAGTGATTCCCTTTACAAACATGTAATAGCCAAGGAAATACAAGCAGGCAGACTGAGTGCCAACTGCATAGCCCCTTCGTATTAGCTGGATCCTTTCCGTTGACTTTAACACACTCTGGAACAAACCCTTGCTGAGTTCAGCTCGCTGTTTACATCAGCTATTCCTTCCTTCATCTGTGCAGAGTTTCTCTTGCAAACTCCCTTTGTGCTCCTTTAATCCCTCTTCTTGGCGAGCCTGGAATGCAACACGAAGATAAACATGCCGGAGAGATGCAGCTGACCGTGGGGGGAGAGTCAGAGTAGTGTCCTGGCTGTAAACATCTGCTCTACCTCCAGAGTGATCCTGGGAGGTCTCCTCTCTCAGGAAGCAGGGGATGAGTTGCAGGGGGTGCCCATGAGCCACCGCCTTGGGAATTCTGTCCCCTTCTTCCTTTTTGGGAGTCCCTGGCTGCAGGATCCTCTTGGCCCTTTACTCCTACCAATCCTCAGCTGGTTACACTGACCGCCTCGGTGACGTCATCTGAGTTGACCCTTGTTTGTTTGTGATCTGGCAAGACATAGGTGAGATGGCTTGACTTGGATGAGAGCAGATATTGGGTTTATCCCTGGGAGTCGATTGTCCCAGGCTTTGATTTGCATCAAAACAGGCAGAGGGCAGTCATGTGCCAGGGTGTTTTTAAGCCTTCCTTAGAGGCATTGTGTGTTGGCTGCAGCCAAGGCTGGGGACTTTGACTGAGGTGTGCCAGCGCTCCTGAATTTTACCTTGTGGTCAGACGGGTAGGGACTGGGGGGACGGCAGGGGGTGTTGCTTTCCTCTGTAGTGACAGCGCGACCTCTACCTGGGATCTCTTGAGCATACGTTAGCCTTTCCCAGAAGCAGGGCATTGGCTGCTGTGATTTCCCTGCTTTGCCTGTGGCCGGCTAGGGCACGATGCCTTGCGTTGTCTCAGGGTTCACGGTAGTCTTAGCAAGAGTTTAGATGATGGCTGTACGGGGTGGCTGGGACAGGGACGATCCTGCCTCAAGTGCAGGGTCAGAGCAGCCGGCCTCCGTCCCAGCCCGACTCCTGTACGATTTCTGCCACAGCTCAGGGCCGTGATGTGGACCCCACCAGCCAGTCACTTTGAAAAGGCTGCTTCTGCCAGTCTGCTGCTTCTTCAGGACAACTGCCCCTTCTGCAGCTGATGGGTACCGCCTGTTCACACACACACACACACACACACACACACACACACACACACACGTCTTTAAAAAAAAGTTAAATCCAGCGCAGCTGCCTGTACCCAGTCCCTGCGGGAACCCCGCGGGGCCAGACACTTGGGACAGCCAGAGCAGCTGAAACGTTAGTTGCACCCCGCGCGCGGCGCGGCGCTGTCACGCGCTCCCGCACAGCCCCGTGCCACTGCAGGGCGATGGCCGCTGCTCCGGCCCCTGCGACCGCCTCCGCCCGGGGGCAACGCAGCGCGCGGCTCACCGGCGCCTACTCCCCTCC